GGAGGGAATGGGGATTTTGCAGTCTCCTTCCCCTGCCACGCCCACAAAGCCACACCCACAGAACCGGTAGTAAAAACTTTTGAATCCTATCACTGCAGGTGACCATGGGAATCAGGTGCCATTGTAACTTTGAACAGACCGTAAATGAACTGTTTCTCAAAATCAGCTCTTTTAAAGTTTTAAGGCACCGGTTGGATTGTTTTCTATTGCTGGTGTTTGCAGTATATTGAATTACAATATGACAGGGTCACTTTCACCCAAAGTTCCAGCAGCTTCAATTCCCTCTATCACTTCTTCTCTATTAGTAAGATTTAGGTCCAGAAGAGTTCCCTCCTCTATATTTTGGATGATAAAGTGAACAGCTAGGTTGGTTAGAAATCTGTTTGATCTCCCACTGGCTGCAGTTGGGGCTCCCAGTTGATAACTGGATAGTTAAGTCTCCCATTACTACTAGGGTATGCTTCCTGCATACATCTGTTAACTGGCTGGCCGAGAGTTCATCTATTTCTTCTGATTGGTTGGTTGGCCTGTAATATCGAAGACGACCTGCAACGGTATTCTTCTGGTTGCCGGAAGAAGGATCTTTGCTCAAGGGTGTAAATAGGTCTTATTGTTCGGATTAACAGATTGCCTGGATATCCGTGCAGCCAGGGTGCTTCTGGACAACGATCATTATGCCATGGAGAAGCTGAAGAAGAGAGTGTTGGAGTACTTGGCAGTCAGGCAGCTGAAGAACAATTTAAAGGGCCCCATCCTGTGCTTCGTGGGACCCCCCGGAGTCGGGAAAACCAGCGTGGGGCGATCGGTGGCCAAGACTTTGGGCCGAGAGTTCCACCGCATCGCACTGGGGGGAGTGTGTGACCAGTCTGACATCCGAGGTCACAGGTATTTTAAGTCTTTGTTGTTGTTGTTGTTGTTGTTATTGTTGTGATGTAGAGGCTGTGGAAAAAAAAACACATTCATCCTGTTTCCTCACTTCTATCCCACTGATAAATGACTTGCCCTGTCATTTTGTACGCAACCACACAAAAATTTTCCTACTTCCACAGAGTAGGACGTTCCCTCTGGTTTTACACCCAATTCAAAGTAAAACTTTGTCACTCCCTCCCCCCCCCCCCNATTAAAAACACAACATTCATACCATTCGGGTGGGTTACAGTCTTTAGCCCCAGGCCTGACGGGATAGCCAGATTTTGAGGGCTGTGCGGAAGGTCTGGAGGGTGGTGAGGGTGCGAATCTCCACGGGAAGATCGTTCCATAGGGTCGAAGCTGCCACCGAGAAGGCTCTCCTCCGCGTGGTTGCCAGTCGACATTGACCGGCAGATGGGACTCGGAGGAGGCCCAATCTATGCGATCTAATGGGTCGAGTGGAGGTGATTGGCTCTTTGGATGGCTCTTTGTTTTGTGGTTGATCTATCCAGTAATATTGGTTTATTATCCTGAGTAATATGAATGAATACTAGTATTAAAATTTTGCTCTACATTTCCCCCTCCCTTTCCCTCCCCGCAAAGCTGGTGGAAATGTTGGATATGTCCATCCCGGCGGTGGCAAAACTGAGGCGCTTGTTGGACAACCTACCCAGAGAAGCTCTACCAGATATTGTCACCTCGATCATCCGTACCAGCAACCAGGAGAAGCTTCAGGTATCAACCGCTGCTTCTGTTCTGGTTTCACAGAGGAAAGCCCATTTTTAATTTTGTATATTTATACCTACCAAAACACTGCCAAACTGAAACCAAAAAAAAGAGGCTTCTTGTCAATTCCCTTACAAGATTAGCCAATGTGTTAAACAAGCATTGGTGTAATGAAAAACATAGGGTAAAGGTTCCCCTCGCACCTACCGTATTTTTCAGAGTATAAGACACACCGGAGTATAAAACGCAGCAAGGTTTTGAAGAGGAAATTTTTTTAAAAAAGTTTTTGCACTCTGCAAACCTCCCAAAACCGGCCCATTTTTTTTCTCCCCAAAAGGCATGAATAGCCTTTAGGGAGCTTGCAGAGCACTCCTGGGGTAGGGCGGGGGCAAAAACGAGCAAAAAACGGCTCTTTTTTGTGAAAACGGGCCCATTTTTTGTAAAGGGGGGCATGGATAGCCTTTAGGAAGCTTAAAGAGTGCTCCTGGGAAGGGACTGTGGAGGGGTACAATTCAGCAAAAAATGGGCCGTTTTCTGCTCATTTCTGCTCTCCCCAGCCCCCAGGAGCTCTCTAAAAGCTTCCTAGAGGCTCTGCACGGCCATTTTGGTGAAGGGGGAAGAGTTTCGGGAGGCAAAAAATGCTGTATTCTGTGTATAAGACGCACCCAGATTTTCAGCCTCTTTTTTGAGGGAAAAGGGTGCGTCTTATACTCCGGAAAATACGGTAGTAGTCCCTGACCCTCGGGGGGGGGGGTTCCTATGATGGGATATGTCCAGCTTGCTCATTTGCCCCTCAGGAATAGCGGTGGAAGAGAAGCTCAAAACAAGATAGATTCTGATAGCTTATGGTGCTTTAAAATCTCTCTGATCCGTTTCAAATTAGGCAAGCACATTTTGTGGTTAAATCTGAGAAGAAGGCAAGGGAACTCACCCTTAATAATGCTTTGTACTTTTCTACTAGATCCTGGATGCTGTGGGTTTAGAAGCACGATTCAAAATGACCATACCTTTGCTCGTGAGGCAGATTGAAGGTTTGAAGCTTCTGCAGAAGACCAGAAAACATAAGCAGGATGATGAGAAACGGGTATTATTATTTTTTTTGTAATAAAACGATTTATTTCAAGGTGTAGAAATAGTCCTGTGTGGGTGTAATTTATTTGGCAGAAGAGAAGTATTAGCAACAGGACTGATTTAGCAATGGCAAAAAGCAATAAGGAGGGGAACTAAATTGTCGCTGTAACTCAGCAGTAAAATACACATTGTCCTTGCAAATTCAGTTCAGCCTTCTCATCTCCAGACAAGGCCAGCCAGGTGGTTGAAACGGGAGAACTGCAAACAGGTAACAGAGACATGATTGTGCTAGATACTTAATGGTTCTGAATTAATATAGAAATGTGTTTCCCACTTTTAATATAGGACATGGGGTTTAGTATTCCCGTATTTCTTGTTGTGCAGCAACCTTTCAGAAAACTCTGAGCTCATTTGATCCTACTTAGGCCATACCTGGAATGTTGCATCAGGTTTTGCTCAAAAGATGTCAACACTTGGAGAAAAAGTCCAGAGAAGAGAAAACTAAGATGATCAATGGCCTGGAGACTAAAACACATGAAGAACGGTTGCAGGAATTGGATATGGGTAGTTTAGAAAGAAGAAGGATTAGGGGTGACATGATAGTAGTACTATTTATTTATTTATTTATTTATTTATTTATTTATTTATTTATTTATTTATTTATTTATTTATTTATTTATTTATTTGTCTTGTATGCCGCCCACTCCCGGAGGACTCCGGGCGGCTCACAAAAGACAAGGGAAAGGGGGGAAACGAGACAAAGACAACATATTAAAAACAAAACCAACATTCACAATTTCCGTGGAGGTAGATGTTTCTCAGACCCCCCCGGCCTGCTGGAACAGCCAGGACTTGGTGGCTTTGCGGAAGGAAGGATAGATAGATAGATAGATAGA